GAGTCCCACCAAGGCTTCCCCATCAAGGGGTGCCAGGGCCTTGCCCTAGTGAGGGGCACCCGGTGCTTCCTGGGGAGACGCGCACAGGCTGCAATCACTCAGCTGCTCCATCCCCTGCTGCAGCCTGGCACCTGCAAACCACCTTGCCTTCCCCTGGCATGACACTGACCTGCCCATTGCCCGCTCTGCTCCATTCCAGCCGACAACTTTTCAGACACAGTCTGTGTGCCGTGTGAACATGGCAGCTTCTCCAACATCTCCTCCACCTCCGAGCCGTGCCGCCCCTGGACAAGGTACAGACCCGACACCCCTGATTCAAAGGCAGCTGAGGCTGCGCCCACACCAGCCTTCTCTCTGCCACACAGCCCGCGCTGCTCACACCAACTCAGCTCCTGCTGCAGGGGGCGTGGGCAGGGGGGGGTGGGGGTGCAGCAGCAGGTGACATGAGCCCTGGTAGGGCCTGGGTGGGGTGGCACGGGCTGTGAGTGCAGGGCGGGAGAGCGGGCGCAGGGGCAAGCAGAGCACCCCAGCCATCCTGTCATCTCGGCTGCCATGCCCAGTAGCTGCCTTCCTCCCCTTTACTGCTCTCGCCACCACTGGAGCTGGGCAGTGTGCAGCACACGGGTGAGTGGAGCTGGGCCGCAGGGCCTGTCCCTTGGCCATGCACCCTGGAGAGCTCCCCTTCCAGCCCGGCGCCACTCCAGCTGCACAGCAGAGACGCAAGGGCCAGAAGAACCCTAACCCGCGCATAGCACCCCCCATAACCACTGGGGGGGGGAGCAGAGCTGACCCCTGCATGGCACACCCCATAACCACTGGGGGGATCTTTGGGAACCTGACAGCTGGTCTTGCGTTGAAGAGTCCACGGGCTGCGTGTCCCCCTGTCTTTCAGAAAGCTGCTCCCGGGGTAACGACACTTTCTGCTTGAAATTTGCACCTTGATTGCTGGCTGCGTTTGTCAAGTTGCAGCTCCCGCCCCCGGCTGGATCTCATTTGGCCTCGGTCTGCTAGCAGACATCACCCCACGTAGGGCCTGAGACTGCGACCAAGTCACTCTCAGCCATCTCTTGGCCCTATTAACCCCATCACGTTGTGGCAGGCTCTCCTGGAGGCAGCACCGAGTCAGTCTCCGAGCTCTTTGCCGAGCCCTTCCCAATTGCTCAACCTCCTCGTTGAAGTGAGCCCCCCAGAGCTGGGCGCACTGCTGGAGAGGTGGGGTTACCTGTGAGCTCACATCACCTGGCCAGCCCCATTGGAGCAGCCTAAGAGCCTGCGGGCCGTACCAGTGGCACCTTGCTGAGGTGCTCTGGGGGTTCCCAGGCGGCCTGTTGTGCACGTCATGCTCCATGTCCCTGTGGCCCAGGAACCAAAGGAGAGCACCTGGGGCCAGGCATAGGGGCAGCCGCTGCAGCTCACAGGTATTTCCCGTCTCAGGAGCAGGCCAGTGGGCAAACGCCCACAGCTGGTGGGTGGCTGTGGGGAGATGCCTGAGGGAGGGCATCACACTCCCTTCCCTGCTACTCAGGCGGAGGGCAGGGCCCAATCCCATGGTTGGGGGCACAGGCTCCCAGCCGGGCCCCTCCCTCCCTGCAGGAAGCTCCCCACATCCGCCTCCTCAGCTCTGGCCTGGCTACCAGGTGTGAATGCAGTTGCAGCCAGGGACTCGCTCTGGATTTACACTGCTGGGAAGGGGCTTGGGGTCCAGCCCATAGAGGTCCCTGGGGTCTGGTCCGTGCTGTTCACCCCACGCACTGCAGCGCATTGCCAGCACACAGCTCCGGGCCCTTTTCATAGCAGCAGCTCTCCTCCCTGTGTGACATGCTTCCCCAGTGCCCGCATGCAGGGTGCTTTGCTGCCCTCCTGGCTCCGGATATGAACCCAGCTCTGCCCCTCTCTGCAGCTGCGAGACACTGGGGCTGGTGCAGAAGGTGCCTGGGACAAACCGCTTGGATGTGGCTTGTGGTAAGTGCCAAGCAGCCTGTGACGCTGTCAGCGTGCACAAGCTGTGCAGATCCCAGGTGGATGAGTTCTTGGATGGGGAGCCCCAGGGTGCCCGAGTCCAGCCAGCATTCTGGTGAGGGAAACCTTGTGCCAGTCTGCCCTAGTGCTTACCCTGGGTAAGGCGTGCGGCGCTGCTGCCTGTGGGTGACACAGAACCGAGGGCCTGGCCACGTGTGGTGGCTAACGCTCTGCAGCACGTTCTGCCAGAGCGAGCGTGTTGCGCCGGATGGGCGAGTCCATTCTGCCCCCTTCCAGTCCCCGTCTCAGTACTGTGCAGCTGAACAAAGCTGCCAGGTCCTCCCCAGAGTTGGCTGCGTTTCACTGGTGGACGCGTTGATCCCTGCAGACACAATACAGTTTGCGAGGAGCTTCAGGCTCCCTTTGGATGAAGATATGGGGTCCTTGCCGCTCCTGGTGGTGGTGGTGGGGGGGTCTCCCCAGCAGTGGGTGCTGTAGGTGGGGTGTGGTTGAGAGGGGCTCAGTGTGGGGGGGAGGGCGTTACACTGGGAGCACAGGGCTGAGCAGCCATCTCCCTTTTCTTGCCAGAGCCTGGCCACGGCCACGGCCGCGGCCGCTTCCCAGTGCTGATCTCTGTTATGGCCATTATTGCAGCCTCTCTCGTGGGGCTCATTCTCTTCTGCCTGTATCAGAAAGGTGAGCACGGGGGGCACTGGCTGGATGGAGGGAGGGTTGGGCGGGCGTCTCCCTCCACTCCTGGGCTGGGCCAGGGCCTGGGCACAGCAGGGTGCTCGTCCTCCACCGCTCACGGCTGAGCCCACCACTTGCCCAGGCTCGAGGCATCACAGTTCAGCTTGTTCTGGGGGAAAACCTCACGGTCCTGGGGCCCACGTGTGCTAAAGCCAGACTGCCATGGCAGTGCCAGCCTGGCCCGGCTCCCCCCGGCAGGGCACCCTGCTGCTTCGCCCACCCGCCATCGTTGGCTGGGCGCTCTGGGAGGCTGAGTCAAGGCTCCCACCATGGCTCTGGCCTGTAGCACCCTGGGCAGCAGGGGCACAATGGCAGAGCCCAGATCGTGAGCACGTGTTCACGCCATGCTGGGCCTGGCCGGGGCTCTCCCCCCCCCCCCCCCCCCCCCCCCCCCCCCCCGCCCGCCCCGGGGCGCCCCGGCGGGGCCCGGCCGGGGCCCCCCCCCCCCGCCCGCCATGGGGTGTCTGGGCTGGGCCTGGCTGGGGCTTCCCCCCCCGGCCCGCTCGCCATGGGGTGTCTGGGCTGGGC